TTTCATAAGGTTTGCGGGGGTAATCCCTCAGAAGTGGGCCACCTAGTCCTTCTTCCTAATCTGTTCCTAGTCTGGGAACCCCATCGAAACCTTCCCATCATGGGTGACCTTGCTGGTTTATGAAACACTGGTGGTATAGTTTCTACCATCACAGTAACATACAAGCCATCGCAGTCTACTTTAAGTATTTTAATTTTATGAGGCCTCAGTTACCTATTTTGTTTTCTGTTGCTCATGCATTCATTGTTATTAAAAAAATTAGTTCCCAAAGCTTTTCTTCTATATTTTCATTTAAGAATTTAAGGTTTTGGATTTAACAGCTACATCCTTAATTCATTTTGAATTATTTTGTGTGTATGGTATGAGGAATGGGTCTTCTTTCATTTTTCTGCATGTGGAAATCCAATTTTGCCAGCACCATGTGTTGAAGGAGAATGCTGTGGCTCCATACTTTAAGCATTAGACTGAGAATCACAAAGTCTGTGGTTCGAGTCCGCCAGCTCCTGCAAAGATTTTTTAAAAATAAAAAAGCCCTGGAAACCCTATACAGGATTGCTATGAGCTGGACCTGACTCAAAGGCACTTAACAACAAATGTGTTGAAGAGCCTGTTCCTGCCTCCTTGAATGCATATGGCATCTTGTTGAAAATCAGTTGACCATAGATGTTTGAAATTATTTTTGAACTTTCAGTTGTATTCCATTGGTGTGCAGGATAAGCACAGTTTGAATCACAAGGTCAGTGGTTCAAACTCACTAGCCGCTTCTCAGAAACCCTATACAGAGTCGCTATGAGTCGGAACTGACTTGACGGCATTTAACAACAACAACAAAATTAAATGCTTACCAGACTGTTTTGATTATTGTTGCTCTGTAATATGCCTTGGAGTCCTGGTGTGGCACTGCAGGATTAACACTGGACTGAAAGTTCAGTTTGAACCACAAGGTTGGTGGTTTAAACTCACCAGCTTCTCCTCGGAAACTGTATACAAGATCGCTCTGAATTGGAACAAGGAGCTCTGGTAGAGTAGTGGTTACAAGTCAGGCTGCTAACCTCAAGGTCAGCAGTTCAAAACTACCAGCCATTTTTCTGGAGAAAGTTGAGGCTTTCTGCTCCAGTAAAGATTTACAGCCTCGGGAACCCTGTACAGGGTCGCTGTGAGTCAGAACCAACTCCATGGCATACCACCACCACCACCTCCATGAGTTGGAACTAACTCGACAGCACTTAACAACAAAGAATGTTGGAAGTCTGACTGGGATGGTGTCGTATCTGTAGCTCACTTTGAAAGTATTGACATCTTGCTTTTATATGAAGTCTTTCACTCGATGGGTATGAGATGGCTTTTCTTCTATTTAGTTCTGCTTTAGTCTCACAGAATGTTTCCTTCTTTCCATTGTGTAATATATATACCACATCCCTGAATAAATTTATTTGTTGTTGTGTTAAGTGCCATTGAGTCAGTTCTGACACACAGTGACCCTGTATAGTGTTCCCAATGAGTGTCTGGGGGTTTTGAACTGACAACCTTGTGATAAGCAGTTCAGTGCTTATCCTACAACAGCACACCGGGATTCTTGGGTAAATTTAGTCCTAGATACAAACTCACCAGCCGCTCGTCAGAAAGAAACCCTTTGTTGCTATGAGTTGGAACCAACTGGACAGCATGTAACAACAACAAATTTATTCTCTTGGATGCTGTTGTAAATGGAGTAATTTTCTTACTCTCCTTTCCATATTTCTCATAGCTGGTATGTAGAAACCCAAGTGATATTTTGTGTTGATCATGTATCCTGAAACTTAGCTTTGCGGTTCTTGAACTAATAAGAAAGTGGGTAAAATTTCCACATATTATGAGACTAGCAAAGAACATTTTTTTTTTTTTTCTCTTTGCAAAGATCATCAGGGGAAAAAACAAAACAAAAATGGCAATATGATTGACTACTCCAAGAATAAGCAAGTTTTTTGCCGGGAAGCCATCAAGGCAAGCAATCAAGTCCCTTCAGGACAAACCTCCCTCTTAAGACTGAAACTCAAAGAGAACACTTTAAGAGCAGGCATGTAAGCTTGCTGGCAACCACACTGGTCTACAAAGGATATTTAAAGAGTCCTGGTGTGGCACTGTAGAATAAGCACTGGACTGCTAACTTCAAAGTCAGCAGTTCAAACCTACCAGCCGCTCCTTAGAAACTCTATAAAAAGTTGCTGAGTCAGAACTGAATTGACAGCACTTAACAACAATATATAAAATGATTTAAGTTTTAGTTTCAGTGACAGGAGCTTAGTTCTCCTTTATAAAATCTCTGTATTGTTAATGCTGAGCCCTGATGGCATTGACGGATAAATACTAGACCTGTAACTGCATAGGTGGCACTTCACACCCACCAGCTGCTCCATGGGAGAAAAACGGACAGCATTGGAAACCGTATGCAGGGTCGCTATGAGTAGGAATTAACTCAGTGACATTAAGTTTGATTTTTGTTTTTATTGTTAATTCTGGAGTCCTGGTGTGGCATTTAATGCACTGGACAGCAAAGTTGATTTGAACCTCAAGGTCAGCAGTTCAAGCTTACCAGCAGCTCCTTGGAAACCTATGTAGGGTTGCTATGAGTCAGAACCAACTCAACAACACTTAACAACAATAACAAATTGTTATGCTAAATTATTACAGAAGCCATACATATCTTTGAAAGGAGCAACTATAGCATAATCCTAAATGTAGCTAAATTTATATTGTGTTTTTCAGTACATTATAAACTTGTTTAGTCCTTGTAACAATCAAATGAGGCAAGTACAGCTATTTTTTTTTCTTCTCTATTTCGTAGATAAGGACACTGATCACAGAGAAATATAGGAACTTTCCCAAGGCCACACAGCTTTTGAACCCATGCATTATGTCCTCAGCATCTGTGTTCCTAATCTCTATTTAATATGGCATATCACTAGATAGTAAAAACTTGGAATTTGGAATAAAATAGACCTAGGATTAAGTTCTTGATTGTCACTTATAATACTCTTGGCATGGAAGTATGTCTTTTGATCACTCTTACCCTGAGTATTGTTATTTGTAAAATAGGGATTGTTTTAGGGTAAAATGAAATGATATAGATGAGCATTATAACTGCTTAGCACCATGTCTGGTACATATTATGCTAGTTCAGTGGAGAGTATTATTATAACCAATACTGAGAAGCCAGGAGAAAAAAAAAAATCACCAAGAGAAAAGAACCATTTTAGCATTTGGAATTTTATCCTTCCAGTCTTTAAAAAAAGTTAATTTTTTTTTTTTTAATGTGAGGTTAATGAAAAAAATATTGCTGTATATTCTTAGAAATCTTTATAAATATAAAGATATGAAGATATTATTTCTTGACATATCTTCCACGTAGGTCTATACACTTCTGTGGTTTTCATTTCTCTCATTTTCCCAGAGGACTTATTTGCTCTTCTATTTATACCAAATGAAATCTGCAGTTTGAGCTTCCTTGAGGGACTCAAATTATGTTCATTTTCAATGTTCTTTGAGTTTTGAGAACAAAAAGAAGTGAGAAGGAGCAGCATCAGAGCTGTAGGGTGGATGGGGTAAGGTTTTCCAATGAAATTCTCATAGGATAACCCTTGCTATCCTTGAAGAATAAGCAGGTACATTGTTGTGATGGAAAAATAATTCCTCGGAGAAACTTTCCTAGCTTTTTTCTCACCGTTTCTGTTTTCTTAAAACTTAATTGATAATAAGCCTCCATGATCATCCTGTGTCCTTAGAGAAAATTTCTTAAGGTTATCTCTTTGAAATCTCATAAAACAGTTGCCGTAACTTTCTGAGCTGCCCTTTCTGCTTAAATGAACTGGCCCAGCAGATCTCCTTGAAAAGCACTGCTTTGATTGGACACTCTAATAAGGAGCTCTGATAGCGTAGTGGTTATAATTCGGGCTGCGAATCTTAAGGTCAGCAGTTTGAAACTATCTGTTCCGCGGGAGAAAGATGAGGCTTTCTGCTCCCGTAAAGATTTACAGCCTTGGAAACCCTGTACAGGGTTGCTATGAATCAGAACCAACTCTACGGCACATAATAACAACAATGAGGTTAGACTACGTATATTACTGAGAGAGCTTGTCTGCAATCATTTACTGATCACAGAGCCATGTTTAAACATGTTTTATTGCAATCAACCTGTGCATGTAGGAACTGAAACACTAGTAACAGTACTTTTTTAAACTTATCCTTGTGTATATTCTTTCTTAAGATTTATATTAACATATTTTTCTTTCTAGTATAACTTTTTCTGGTTTATATTTCATACAAAAAGTAACAAGGCTTGAATTTGCCTGTAAACCTTAGAGTATAGCAAGACTGTTTTTAAGCTAGCCAAAATTGTTTTATTTTCGTTCTGTATTTAGAGGTGGGCAGGTGAAGATGATGTGTGTGGCACTGTAGGATAAGCACTGGACTGCTAACTGCAAGGTCAGCAGCTCAAATCCACCAGCCGTTCTGCAGGAGACAGATGAGGCTTTCTGCTCCTTCCACAGATTTACAGCCTTGATACAGGGTTGCTATCAGTCAGAGTCGACTTGATGGCAGTGACTTGGTTTAAGGTGAAGATGAGAAATATATACATTTTTTTTCCTTTTTAAATAGACATGGGATTATATTTGAATGAAAATTTCTGGCTTAATTAGCTATAAATAAAAAAAAAACATAGACTGCTAAAAGTAGACAGAATAACTAATCTGTGCAATTGATTTTATTAAAATAACAATGAAACTTTGGTTTCAGAGTGTATGGAGTTGCTAACTGAAAACAAAGGAATTGAATGAACTACTGTAGTAAATGTAGACCGGTTCCTCTTAGTGAGGGAGATTATAGAATATAACTGAATAATAGATAGCGCATTGTGAAATAGTTTCATTGGATGTGATCATTGCAGTCACTAAACTAGTTGTCATTTTTATAGTCTTAGAAATAATACGTGGCTAATTCTCTTTTTCTCCTCCTGCTTTTAGGTCTACACACAATGAGCTTGAAAAGAATCGGTGAGTCATTGATGATATGCAGCTTTAATTTATGTTAAAAAGAAAACTCACAGTTTACTTGTGCCAATTATGTAATCGTTTCTATATACTTATATTTTATCTTTAAACTGTATAACACATCATCATAGGTCTGATGTATATTTCCTCCAAGGAAGGGAAAAATAAAGTCTTGATAAGTAGCTTATATGAGGGGGTTTCAAAAAGTTGGTGGGAAAATGGAATTAATGGATAACAGAATTTCTCATTGATCTTCTTGAAGCCCCTTCATATTATCTAAATTGGAAGAAATAAACATATTTTAAGCTCATTTAAGTTTTGAGTTTTTGATATTAACTACTTTACTTCTGTCTCTCAAAATAGGTTAATTGTGATAGCCTCATGACTTAAATACGAGGGAGCTTCAAAATGTTCATGGAAAAATAGAATTAAAAGATAATGGAATTTTCACCCAAACTTTTTGAAGCCCCTTCATATGGTCTTGCTGGAGGATTAGTTTAGGTTTCTTAAGTGTTGGAAATAGCATTACAACAAATTGCAGGACATTACATTTCTCTTTCTTTGCAGTGCAGTCATTCATTCATTTATTAATGCATTCAACAAATATTTACCAAGCATGAAACTATTATATGTCATTGCCAGACCAGTCAGGCATCAATACACAAATGCTTTCAGTAGTTTCTTTAAGGAGTATAACAGTTTCATGAGAGAGACAGATAATTGAAACATTTTTAGTGGCCAAGTATGATAATAGAGAAGCAAGGATGCTGAAAGATCATTTTGGAGGGTCACTTAATTCTCCTTTGAAAGAATCTTGTAAGGCTCATCACAGGAGGGTAGGTGGTGAGCATTATTTATTGAAGAAACTCCAAGTCATTCAGTATAAGTATAAAAGATTATGACATAAGGTAAGCCAGGCTACATGTTGAAGAGTTGTTTCAATTATGCTGAAGAGTTTGGACTTTTCTTGAAGACAATAAGAAGCAGTTGAGCGGTTACAAGCTTGGTTGTCATATAATCAGATTTGTGTTTTAAAAAGATCAGTGTGGCTGCAGTGCAATGAATTGGTTGGTTGGAAGAAGGGATACCCAAAACAGGAAGACCCCTTAGGAAGCTATTGTAGTAATACAGGTCAGGGAGATAGAAGTAGACAGAATAAGGAGATAATATGGAGTAAAATCAAAAGAGATTTGTGATTAGTTGGCTGTGAAATATTATGTTTTAGGTGGTATTACCGTTATTGAGAAAAGGAATACAGGAAAGAAGATGAGAATTGTAGGAATATAGGATTCTTTTTTTCGGAGTGAGGTATAGTTATTAATAACCAACAAACTAGAATCATCTGCGACAACCATTTTTAACAAATGAGATCTCCATGATCTTTAACTTTAAAAAGAAAAAGAAAGAAAGGTTTGTACAGATTAACTAACCTACTGGCTCATTTGCAATGAGTTAAAAATGTCTTATCCTCTATAAACAGGGTTACCGTAGTCTTCCAGGCAGATGTTGTCAATACCTATAGAAGCAGCAGTGAGGAAATCAAACAATGTATTGCACTGGGAAAATCTGCAAAAGATCTCTGTAAAGGATTAGAAAGCAAAGAGGTCACTGTGAAGATTAAAGTGTGCCTGGCGCAAGCCAGGGTATTTTCAGTCGCTTCATATACATGTGAAAACTGGACAATGAGTAAGAACAACTGAAGAATTAATGTCTTTGAATTATGGTGTTGTTGAAGAATATTAAATATACCATGGACTGCCAGAAGAACAAACAAATATGCATTGGAAGAAATACAGCCAGAATTTTCCTTAGACGCGAGGTGATAAGACTTAGATTACATAATTTGGATATGTCATCAAAAGAGCTCAATCCCTGGAGAAGGACATTATGCTTGGTAATGTAAAGGGTCAATTAAAAAGAAGCAGCTCTTCAATGACATCTGTTAACACAGTGGCTGCCACAATGAGCTCTAACATAGGAACTGTTGGGAGGAAGACACAGGGTCATGCAGTATTTCATTCTGTTGTACATAGGGTGACTAGACATCAGCCCTACCACCTAACCACAACAGAGTCCAGTGTAGGATAAGCACTGGACTGCTTACCACAAGGTTGGCATTTTAAATTCACCAGCTGCTCCTCAAAATCCTATACAGGGTCACTTTGAGTCGGAAGCAACTCAACGGCACTTAGCAACAACAACAAACAACAGCTATTACTTTGTACAATACTTTGTTCACATCTCCTGTTATAAGACTATATCAGATAGTATTGTTATCATCTGTTCATATGTGACTTTCTACCCTGTGAGTATGACTGCTTGAAAGTCAGGATTCTGTCTTGTTCCATTTTATATTCTCAGTGCGTAGTACTTGATGCATGTACAGTTGTTAGGTGCTATTGAGTTGATACTGACTCATAGTGACCCTATGCACAACAGAACAAAACACTGCCCAGTCCTGCGCCAGCCTCACAGTCGTTGCTATGTTTGAACCCATTGATGCTGCCACTGTGCCAGTCCATCTAGTTGGGGGTGGGGGTGGGGTCTTCTTCTTTTTCTCTGACCCACCACTTTACCAAACATGTTATCCTTCTCCGGTGACTGGTCCCTCCTGACAAGGTGTCTGAAGTGTGAAAGACAAAGTATGGCCATCCTGGCTCCCAAGGAGAATTCTGACTGTTCTTCTTCCAACACAGACTGATTTGTTCCTTTAGCAGTCCATGTATGTTCAGTATTTTCCTCCAACACCATAGCTCAAATGCATCAATTCTTCTACGATCTTTCTTATTTCACTGTCCAACTTTCACATGCATATGAAGTTATTGAAAATACCATGGCTTGTCAGGCACACATTAGTCCTAAAATCTTTGCTCTTCAACACTTTGAAGAGGTCTTGTGCAGAAGATTTACCTAATGCAATACATCATTTGATTTCTTGACTGCTGCTCCCCTGAGTGTTGATGGTTGATTTGAGCAAAGTGAAGTCTTTGACAACTTCAGTCATTTCTCCATATATATGGATGTTGTTTATTGGTCCAGTGGTGAGGATTTTTGTCTTGTTTACATTGAGGTGCATGCACAGTAGATGATGACTTTTTATTTACTAAATGAAAGCTAAACCTGGTTGTCAAAATTCAGTGCTCTAATCAAAGACATTTTGTTAGTTTGTGGCAAAGCAGTTTTCAACAGGAGATTGTCCTTTTTTTCAGACCTCTTTTCTGCCTTGTGTTTCTGAATGGCAGGGTAATTCCAGATGACTATCTTAAACAATTCCTTAAGACTGCTTGAAGTCAGGCCTTGAGACTATAGCCAACAAATGTTGAGGTTCTTGCCCCCAGATCTCAGAGGAAAGTTTAATGGTAAAGATTTGGGGTCCAGCAGGCCATAGAATAGTTGGTTCTGGCCCACAGTTACCCCAAGATGCCTAAAGCTCATTAGTGAGCTCTAGGTAATTTAAAGACTGATCTAGAAGTTCACATTCTTTCTAGGATGGTCCTACAGGCTTATTTTGTCTAAAACCCTATTGTCTACTCTGAGCCTGGTCTAGATGATTCAGAGTATTTGGTTTACCTGTTGTAGTACAGTGAATCATTTAATGTGACCTTTCTAACCCTATTCTGTGTAATGCCCACCAAATGACTTCTTCCTTATGGCTCTGGGTAAAAGAAAGTGGGAGAAGGTACATATAGGATGATATGATGCAAAAACTTGAAACTTTAACCAGGGTTTAAAATGAGTCATCTCAGAAGCAGGGAGATTTCACTACCATCAAGGAAGAAGAACCATGTGTGGATTATAACCCTTGGGCCCAAGGTCCCTGTTCATTGAACTCCTCGATCCAGGGACAGAAAGGTATGGTACCTGAGGAGTGGCAGGGGAGCAACAGCAGCAGAACCGAGAACCAGAATACCAAACAGAGCAGTGGGATTTGTAGCTCATGAGCAAGTAAAGCTGGGGGCCTTTAGGCAGGAGGCTCAGTTGTGGATTGGGGTACCTCCAGGCACTTAATTGGGGAGCTAGGTTTGTTGACCCATTAACTAAAGCTGAGTACCTTAGGACTGAGACAGAGTGGAATGGAGTGTCCTTTGAACATTTGTCAGAGGCCCTAAAAGAGCTTTGTAACATTGCCTGAGCATGACAGAGTTCAGGCATGGTTGAGTAAAGGCTGTCCTAAGCAGCCTCCCTGGTCCTGACTTATAAACTGTTCACTTCCCTAAGAAACCCCATAACTGTGAGTATGTCTGAGTCCTATGTGGCCACTGCTGTGACTTACCATTACAGTGAGTTCTCAAACCCAGCTGAGTAGGAAGAGTTTATGCCACTTTTGTGCCTCTGTACTCCGTCTTTCCTGGACCCACAACAGGGCCTAACAGGGCTGGGTATGGTGGAAGGAGAAAAGAATACTTAGAGATGGTCTGCATTCCTAAGGAGCCTTTGTGAATTATTTCATGGTAAACTTAATGAATTTCTGAGATTTAAGAATTAAGAATTTGCTTTGCCCACTTGGTTTACCTCATGAGTTGTATCTTGTGCCATAGAAGAGACCATTCAGTGCCGATTCTAGATTGCTTCATTGCTTTTTCATTTTCTTAATTCAAATTACTGATGATGTTCTGGAAAGAGTCAACAACTTTAACAGGACTTTAATGGTCAAGAGCCTTAGTGCTGACTGCAGGCCAGGCCATTCAACCTTAATAGCTGTCATTCCATGGGAACAAAAGGCTTACCCTGATTACAACTTTGGCAAAGCTGGAAGGGCCAAATGAGGACACTGAACTATAATAATGCTTTCCTAGGCAGAGCAACAGTGCCTGAGTCTTTGTGATCAAAGAGGAAGATGTTCAGTGAATGGTAATAAGTGTCTTCCATCTAGAGACTTTCTCAGACCTGTGAGGGAAAGAAGGATGAAAATGAGCAATATGGAGAATTTATTGCATACTCTCACTGTGTCAGGTGGGAAAGCAGTAAATATAGGTTAAAGTACCATTGAAAACTGACCATTT